AAACCTGCATTAATTGGCTTTGAGTACACGGTGGGGAATAACACACTCAATGGCACCATAGACCTAGACATCTTCCCCGAAAAAGATAAGATTACTGGGACCCTGAAATCAACGCATATCACCAACGACAGCATTGAGACGCAAGTTTCTGTAACTTCAAAGGTAAGTAGAGTTGCTATATAACACCAGCACCATTTTATGACACTAATGATTATACTTTGAGACAAATTTATAAATATAAGAAATATTTCTTATTTCCTAGGTGTTGAGAACAAATCCAAAATTGATCATCACAGCAGCTAATGCACCTGGAGTTGTTGCTTATGACATCATGTTCTGGAAGTCTCCCTCACTCCCTCCATTGTTAGAAATATCTTACAAGTATTACAAGAGCCACTACAGTGAAGCAGCTTTTGCCCTCACAGTCTTAACTGAAAATGGAGTGGTGTTTGAAATGGCTGGACTAGCAGAGAATGAAAACAAAATCGAATGTGATGGCGTGAAGATTAGTGCAACTGTGAATGCACCAGCATTTGGTAAATACATACTAGATTCAAAGCGATGCAACTCCGCCTTTGCTGAAATAACCATAGCAAAAGATGGAATTGAATCAAAATACTCTGCTAGTCTTGGCATTCAGAATCCAAACAATGTAGAAATAAGTTTGCTTGAAGGAAGTACGCAGTCAGAAGAAACAGAGCCTATTGTTCTAGCGCGCACGAGGCTTGTAAACCCTTCGATGGTCATGACCGAGTTTGCTTGTAAGATGGAAAGGCTGGACACTTTGTGGGTAAGGTGGTACCATGTTTATCCATTTGATAAGCTTATATTTTTAGAACAATTTATATTGTTTATATTCAAGCATAAAATATCTGAAACATATGATTACAGTGTGATATATGACTGCCTGAATGATATGAATGATGTCAGTTGTTTTGTTTACACTGCCTTTCATTTGCAGAATAACATAGTCGTGGGTACATCAGAGGCAATGCAGGGCATCGATTCATGGGTCGAATCCATGGATAAGGATCTTTCAGGAGACTTTGACGCAGGGCATAAATCTGGGTTCCTAAAACTAGCAGGAGAGGCTAGTCAAGAGCTGAGAGAAATCTGGCATCAGGTGCTCTATGACGACATCCTTCCCAAGTTTGAAGAACTACAGCTCGTGCTGACAGGCCCAGTGACTAACATGGCTCGTAGACTTTCGCAGCAAACTTGGGCACATTTGGCACAGTTACAGCACCACTATTCCACAGTCTTTGGCAATATGGCAAAGCGCACACATCAGGAAATCAGAAGTATTAAGAATTTATTCAGAGCAGGTAGGTTGGTGTTGACGTTTTAATACTGGTTAAAAGAATGAGATCAAATGTATACTGTTTAAAATAAATGAATAAAATAATGACTGACAATTGTAATGATATAAGTTATAAGCTGAATAATGACGGTTGGTTCTCATGAATCCTGGATTATTTTTCAGCTATGATTGAAATTGCACGTCTGCTTGAGAGTAGAAAGTTGCCTGGAATGTTTGATGAACTTTTCAAAGAAATTGAGGCAAGCGAAATATTCAGGATCGCAAAGGCAGAAGTGAGTGCAATGCTTGAAGGTTATTCAGACGAGAAGGAAGCTGTTAAGCAGATTGTTAGCAGGATTATGGCCACACTTGATGAAGACGTTGACACGCTTTACAAAAGAATCATGGAGATACCAGCTGTGCAGAGAATTACTGAATGGATCGTGAATGAATCCATAATGGTACAGGTTGTCTCAATTATTTCATAATCACACATTGGGAATAAAAATAATTATGGTATGAAATATAATGCACATGATTACAGCATACAAATTTGATACAATATCGTTTCGGTTAATTTTAGTTAATGTTAATGATTTTCCTTTTATATTTTCAGCACCATTTGAAAGTTTCTAAAGAGATTGACAAACTGATAAGTGAGTTCATTGAGGAGTCGCTCTTTCTGTCGGTGAAGCCCGGAGCCAACCACGTGACGTTACGAGTCCCTGTCGCCCCTCCTGCACCTTGCCTCTTTCAGGCTCTGTGGGCCCTTGCCAAGAACCCTTTTGGGGCCCTCGACTTTACTGCTGCGCCGTTTAACTCCTACGCCCCGAAACCCCTTGAAAACGCCATCTGGGCTTACTACACATTCTTCCCCAAAGACATCACGGATATCCTGCCTCCTTACCCACAGACAGCCATGGTAGTTGGAGGAACTCAGATCCTCACCTTCGACGGCCTTGTGGTGCGAGCACCTCGGTCCCCATGCAAGGTTCTCCTGGCTGCTTACGGCTCCTCTAGGCTTACAATGACGCATCCAGAGCCCTCAGTCTCGCCTCAGCTCGAGCTAAAGACGGCATCGACCAGTGTCGTCATCACTCCCGACTTTCGCGTTCTTGTTGACGGCCACCTGGTCAGCGGGGCGGGGGAAAACTTCGGAGACGTCAGAGTCCAGCTGACACCCTTCGGCGTGAAACTGAC